CTTGCCTTTCTTGCCCTAGACAGATCAAGTCCAGAAATTGGACATCCCATCCCGGGTAGGCTGGCATGTTGTCCTACTTTGGCAACTCTTGGATCTTTCTCTCCATGACTTTTAATCCTACTGATTATATCCATGACTTTTGTCTTGGATAAGTTCCCGTTATGTAGATCCTTTGGATCCATTTCTTGCCCTAGATAGACCAAGTCCAGAAATGGTGCATCCCATTCCGGGTTGGGAGGGAAGGGCAGGCGCTCAAAAGTATAATCTCCTACATTGGGAACTCTTGGGTCTTGGGTCTCTCTCGATGTCCCTGGCACGCATATATGCCAAGGAGCAAAGCTCCGAGTGTGTGTGTGTGTGTGTGTGTGTAGGTGTGTGTGTGTGTGTGTGTGTGTGTGCACACACATATTGCTTGACTTGACTTGCGGGAATCGACAATAAAGCATCAGGAGGAAGGCAGGCAGACAACTTGTGCGTTTGACAACTACATTGACAGGACAACGATTTCAATAAGAATCCGAGAAGCAGGCAGAGAAGGGGAGAGACAGAGCGAGAGAGACACAGAGAGAGAGAGAGGGAGAGGGAGAGAGAGAGAGGAAGAGACACCGAGTGTGTGAGAAGGGAGAAGTGAGAAGGGAGAAGACGCTGGAAAATGCTAAGCTCGCTAACAATCAAACGCACAACAAAGCAATAGGAAAATGTCAAAGAATAATTTGATGCGAGTAGCCGAAGATTAAATACCCTATAAATGAGACACACAAGGGTATTTACAGCAGTAAATACCCTTTAAATGCACACAACAAAGCAATGAGAAAATGGAAAAGAATAATTTGATGCGAGTACCCGAAGATTGAATACCCTTTAAATGCCGAGCCACACAAGGGTATTTACATCAATAAATACCCTTTAAATGCAAGGATATTTCCACCATTAAATACCCTTTAAATGCTGAGCCAAACAAGGGTATTTCCACCATTAAATACTCTTTAAATGCTAGGATATTCCACCATTAAGTACCCTATAAATGAGACACACAAGGGTATTTCCACCATTAAATACCCTTTAAATGCTAGGATATTCCATCATTAAATACCCTTTAAATGCCGAGCCAAACAAGGGTATTTACAGCAGTAAATACCCTTTAAATGCTGAGCCAGTCGAACCTTAACCCGAATCGAAGCATATATTTTCCAATCGAATTTTTTTCATTCGAAAATTGACACAAATTAATTACTTTATAGTATAGTTAAGAAAATACAATAAATAGAAAAAAAAGAAAAAAGTTATTAAGAAAGTAAAGAAATTTATGCTAGATATATATAGAGTGTTAAGTAGATGGGATAAAGAGATAATAATGGGAAATCGGAGGGGAAATTTAAGCTATACCCATAGTTAAAGCTGGGAATGGTCCGTGGGTTCCCGCATTTATCCCGAGAGCAACGATTTTATCAGGAGGGAAGAGAAAAAGTTCGGTGAAGAAACTAGAAACTATTGTAAACCTGTCAATATATAGGTTCCGTATCGCTTGAGCATGTCTCTGTATGCGGTTTATTTCCGGTAATTTATAAAGAGCGAGAGAGAGAGAGAGAGAGTTTCATCATGAAAAACATCCCTGAAGCATGTCTCATGCCAAGCTCATAATACCCTGCTGCGTAGAGTATTCAACAAAATAAACAACTGACGAGCTGACAGGTGTGTCTGTGAGTGTGTGTGTGTGTGAGTGTGTGTGCAACGGACAAGGACTTTAGCCAGTTTAAATGTCGCTGTCCCTGTATCTGTCCCTGTCGCTGTCCCTGTCCATGTCGAACTGCTTGTCCATGTCCATGTCTGACTAATGTTTGCCCAGCACGCATATGGCGGCTTTTTGGCTTACCGATGCTTCTCCCTTCTCCCTTCTCCCTGCCCGTTCGAGTGTTTGTTCAAGTGTTTGCCCGATATGGAGCAAGTCACAAGTCTTGTTTTTCTTCGTGCGAATCGAATTTGTAATTCGAATTCGTGTTTATTTAACTTGCACACTTGCGACTCGTGCGATCTGTGCAGCACTGAATTATCACCATGCACTTGTTAAGTTGGCTGCGCCTCATAATCAAAAAGCCAGTGTTGCATAACGCTTGCATTAAAAACACGCTTAACATAAGTCACAGAGCAGATATATTTAGGCAATCACGATGCACTTGTTAAGTTGGCCGCGCCTCAATTCATAATGCTTAACCCAATTGCGTGCCAGTGTTGCATAACACAACATGTCTGTCTATTATTCCTTGAAAGTGTATATAACAGACCCAACAAGTAAGTCGATCTAGGCATGCTCCTCTGTCCATCTTCTGTTCTATGTTTGTCCGTCCATCGGAAACTACAAAAGCGAGAAAAGAGACTTAACATTTTAAATAGATCTTTTCCGAGTGTTTCCTTTTCTTTTTATACCCTTGCAAAGGGTATTATAATTTTTTCTCGACATGCGTAACGCATAGAAGGAAGCATTTCCGACCCCATAAAGAATATATATTCTTGATCCGTATCAACAGACGAGGCGATATAGCGAAGTCCTTCTGTCCGTCCGTCTGTCTGTCTGTCTAGTCTCTCAGTTTTAAAGCTATCGTCATGAAAGTTGCACGCAGTCGATGGCTAGATCGGACGACTATAGTATATAGCTGCAATAGGAACGATCGGTCGAAAGCTAGGTTCTTGTATAAAAAACTTTCTTGCTTATCAAGATATCTTAACCATACTCGGCATTAACTATTTTCCCTGTGCATCTAAGATACGAGCAAAGCATTATGAAAAAGTTCGCTCTGCAAGGGCATTAAATCTTCGGCGTGCCGAAGATATCCCTTCTTTCTCTTTGAATATTTCCTTTATAATATCGATTCTAAGACATGATTTTTAGAAATAACACATAATAGGTTGTATATTGTAGGTTGTCCTATGAAGGTTGTCCTACGTGGGTTGTCTTACGCAGGTTGTCTTAAGTAGGTTGTCTTACGTAGGTTGTCTGATGTAGGTTGTCTTTTGTAGGTTGTCTTACGTAGGTTGTCCTATGCAGGTTGTCTTACGTAGGTTGTCTTTTGTAGGTTGTCTTTTGTAGGTTATCATTTGTAGGTTGTCTTTTGTAGGTTGTCTTATGTAGGTTGTCTTACGTAGGTTGTCTTTTGAAGGTTGTCTTACGTAGGTTGTCTTTTGTAGGTTGTCTTACGTAGGTTGTCTTATGCAGGTTGTCTTATGCAGGTTGTCTTATGCAGGTTGTCTGATGTAGGTTGTCTGATGAATGTCTTAGGTAGGTTGTCTTATGTAGGTTGCCTTTTGTAGGTTGTCTTACGTAGGTTGTCTTTTGTAGGTTGTCTTACGTAGGTTGTCTTCTGTAGGTTGTCTTTTGTAGGTTGTCTTATGCAGGTTGTCTTATGCAGGTTGTCTGATGTAGGTTGTCTGATGAATGTCTTAGGTAGGTTGTCTTATGTAGGTTGTCTTTTGTAGGTTGTCATTTGTAGGTTGTCTTATGTAGAATGTCTTAGCTAGGTTGTCTTTTGTAGGTTGTCTTATGTAGGTTGTCTTTTGTAGGTTGTCATTTGTAGGTTGTCTTACGTAGGTTGTCTTATGCAGGTTGTCTTACGTAGGTTGTCTTACGTAGGTTGTCTTACGTAGGTTGTCTTATATAGGTTGTCTTATGTAGAATGTCTTAGCTAGGTTGTCTTTTGTAGGTTGTCTTTTGTAGGTTGTCTTATGCAGGTTGTCATCGTATAATTTAGGGTATCTCCTCCATACATTCGTGTATGCACCATTTTGTGTTGACATATTTAAGCTTTCAAGCACCGAGGTAAATCGGAATTCATTTCTCCTATAAAGTATGGGACAGTGGAAAGAAGAAGCACAGTTACCGCATAGTCGAGCACTCCCGACTGTCGCATTTGCTTGTACTGGCTCTGCCTGCGATTTGGGTGGGATGGGGGCAATCGGATTGCGGCCCAAGATGAATTGTGGAAATGTGTTAAGTGTATTTTCTTGGATTTATCGGATGTCGCCGTGCCTATTGTTTGTGCGAACAACTTTCAGCAACAAAAGCGTGTGCTAATGATAACTGTCGGTTTATCTATCTCTCTCAGCCTTAACAGCACGCCCGCCCACACACGTGTTTAACAAGGGAAGCTTTGTTGTTCATTTTTTATGAGCGCCATTTGTCGTCCTTTTGCCTCACACACACACACACACACAGTTGTCTGAACTATGTGAAATTCCTTTACTTTTTTTTTCTCCCTACTTTGTTCCGTCATTTTTCTTCTGCGGGCTCTGCTTGTAGTTATCCTTGTTCGTCCTGTCTGTATGTGTTGTCTTTTCTCGTTTGATTTAATCATAATTCTGTCAAAGCACCTCAAAATGCCCACCAGCCAAGACGAGACCGACAGCACAAGGACATGGAGCAAGTGCTTTCCGGAGCCGCTAATATTGTTGCTCTCTACACTCTGTTTCTGGCTTACAACCGGGTATATTGACTGTCGTTTCTCTGGCATTAAAAGGTCTGCTCTCGACGATTCTCTTTAGAATGTGCTCTCGACTTTCTTCGCTCTCAAGGCAGACTTCTCAATTTGAAAGCTTTTGACTTGAGTTTGAGACTTGACTTAAGTTTAGGCTAGGATTCCAATTTCTACAAATTGATATTCCCTTGCGATTTAACGAGCCTCATATTGACTTAAGTTTGACTTCAGTTAAAGTTCCGACTTAAGTTTAGACTAAGCTTTCAATTTCTACAAATTAATTTTCCCCCCTCGATTCTTTTGATTTAACGAGCCTCAGCCTGCGAACAGAGTATTGCGCAGTCAGTAAGCATTCGACACAGCTAAAAAAGATGCTTCACTTAAATTGCATTTTCTCCAAAAAAATTTCCGATTCAATTCGTCTCGCACACATCCTTCCGCTTCGAGCCGGATGCGACGATCTATGCTCAAGATATTCCCCCCAAAAAAAAAAAACACTTTACCTGAGGCCAAATTTGGCAAACAAGACTCGAACCGAGTGACGCAATTTATTAGCTAGATTTCATAAATCATGATGATATCATAACGAAGACGACGCCCACGCCAGGTGGAAGCACACCTGGTTGCAGCTTCGGACTAGACAGCCTTGACTTTGGCCAGCTTCGATTTGACTGCAAGTGATTCAAGGTGAGCTGCAGATGGCAATAGTAAAAGCAATACCTTTTGCTTACCTGTAATCAGGGCGTCGGCATCGGTGGGCACCTCCGCCTGCTCCGCCTCCGCCCGCTGGAGCAGCTGTTTGCGCAGCTTGCGCAGGTAGGCCGCCTTGTAGGCATCGCTGGGCTTGCCGCCCAGACCGTAGCTCACCTCCAGCACCGTCAGCGGAATGACGGTCGAAGAAACGGCCACCAAATCTTAATTCGGCACAAGTTAGTCCAAGTCGAAAGGTCAAAAATCTAAATCTAACTCACCCGGCTCGTACTTCTCCTCCGAATTGCGCTTATAGAGCGTCGTCATGGGCGAGACGCCTGCGCAAACCAGGCCCAAAGCCAGCGCCAATATAAGCCCACTTTCCAGCCATAAACAAGACCTCATTTTCTGCGATCCAAACTCGGTTTGCGTCTGTCGAGAATTGATCGCGAACTAAGCGAATTGCTTCGCATCTGTTGCGGGTTTTCGCGCGGGCGTCAGAGTTGACAATTTCCATAACAGAAACATTACACAACACTGCAGCTGTGCTGTAAAATACCACTATAAATATGAAAAGATTAGATCGACAAAAACACGTTAGACCAGTATTGCAGTGCTGCGTTTGAAAAGCGCATTCAAAATAGGGGGAAAACACTTAAAGTTTGTTTTGGCGTTGACAACTTCCATAACAGAAACATTACCCAACACTGCAGCTGTGCTGTAAAATACCACTAAAAATATGAAAAGATTAGATCGACAAAAACACGTTAGACCAGTATTGCAGTGCTGCGTTTGAAAAGTGCATTCAAAATAGGGGGCAGCATTTAAAGTTTGTTTTGGCGCCGCGTTCAAATGGCATCAGAGTTGGCAATTTTCATAACAAAAACATTATACAGCACAGCTGTATTACACTTTCTTTATTAATATATAAAAAACTAATTTTTTTAATAACTAAATATCAACAATTAAGTGGGCGAAAACATGTGAGACCAGTATTGCAGTGCTGCGCGTTTGAAAAGCGCATTCAAAATAGCGGCCTGTTTTGCAGCAATTAGACTTTGTCTCGCTGCGCGCACTACAAGGCAGACAGCTTTTTGGCGTGCTGCCCGAGTTGCATGTAAAAATATCGATATGTATTTATGTGAATTAAGGTTAAATGGGGCCATTCAGCTTGCGCGATTGCGTGCGATATATCGCACTGTATACATAATGTATCGATTAGTTATCGTTGGACCACCACCACAATCAATCGGTATTTGGCTGTGTTTTGTTTTTTACTGTTCATTGAGAAAATAATTTGCCATCATCAAATGCAAATGGAACGGTGACATAAATGTGTTGCACAAACCAAAACGTGGCTGTATAGACGAACGCGCGCGCCGAGTGTAGCTGAACACACAGTAGAATAGTGTAGAAATTGCAGCCTGGCCAGAAAGCATGAGCTGAAACTGGACAAGCACACCAACACCAACACACACACACACACACACACAGTCAGCGAGACAGCGAGACACACAAAAAAGATAATTTTTGTCAAGGCAACGCTGTGTGCAACGCAGGGGCAAATAAACTTTAAATAAGGTGACAATTTCGACGGCGACAAAGACAATAACGACGCGTGCATGAAACTTAATTGATGGTCTGCCAACGTCCGCGTGCTGATTGTCACCTTGCGATTCCAGCGGAGTCACGTGTATGTATGTGTATGCGTGTGCCTGTATGCACATGCATAGTTATCGTTGTATGTGTTGTATGCTAACTCGAAAGTGCAAGCAAGCAATGCAACAACAACAACAATATTAACAGCTACAATAACGGAAGCATTGGCAAGCCTTGCCAGACCCATCCACGCAGCAGCAGCAGCATCACGGCGTCCCAGCAGCAGCAGCAGGCGCACACACACCAACACAATAACGACTACAACAACAACAACAGCAATATGAGCACAGTGTTTATTAACTCGCGCAAAAGCCCAAATGTGCTCAAGAAACAGGGCACAGACCAATGGGTCAAGCTGAATGTGGGTGGGACATATTTTCTAACCACCAAAACGACGCTTTCCCGTGACCCCAATTCGTTTTTGTCGCGTCTTATACAAGAGGACTGTGATTTGATATCAGATCGGGTGAGTTCCACACACACACACACACATGTATATATATATACTTAACTATACATATGTAAATGCGCGTATATTTAGGCATTTACAGTTAGCGCTCCTTTGATCGAACATTTACCGTTTCTTTGTCTCGCTTTAAAAATAATACAAGCATGCACAAAAATATACGGACAAAAATTACTGTTCTATTTTTGTTAAAAAAAAAAAATTTATTGCATTTCTTTTCTTTTTATTTTCATTCAATTTCTTCGCACTGGGAAAGATTCGAAAATTACCTCTACTTTATCAATTCATTCGCTTTTACGGCCCTTTTATATTTGTATATCAATAGTTTTAAATTTATGTGAAATGCATAAGCAAAACTTATAGTGCTGCCAGCTTCCGGTTGGAAAAGAAAGTAGCTGAATCCGATTTAAAAAAGAGCTAAAAATAGCTTAAGTCGCTTTCCGAGCGCAAATTGGCAATAAACTGAGTTGTTATTGCTTGTCATTGAAAAAAAAAACAAAAACTAAATCTGTTAAAATGTACAACTGTTTCCGGCTATGAACCTGTGCGCGTAGCCAAATGTAGCTAGTAAATTGCTAAAATGGCAAAATATAGCTAAATCAGCCAAGACTTTCAACTGTTTCCCGCTGTAACCTGTTCAAATGTAGCTAGTAAATTGCTAAAATGGCAAAATATAGCTAAAGCAGCTAAGACTTTCAACTGTTTCCGGCTGTTAACCTGCAAGAGCAGCTAAATTTAGCTAGTGAATAGCTAAAATGGCAACATATAGCTAAAGCAGCTAAGACTTTCAACTGTTTCCGGCTGTTAACCTGCGAGAGTAGCCAAATGTAGCTAGTAAATAGCTAAAATGGAAACCTTGCTCATAGCTGCCAGCTATGTGAATAGTCATAAACCTAATACCAGGAATTGTAAGCCCATGAGTGCACACACACACATGCACACACACGCACACAGACTCTGCCCATGCAGGTCATTCCACGAACAATTACAAGAACAACAACAGCAGCAGCGACTGCAGCAGCCAGGGCTGTCACAGAGCGCCTTCTACGTCGACTGCGACGCTGGCGTCGTGCAGAGTTAAATTGGGAAATTTTCGAGCCACGACGGCTTAGTAAAAAGGAAATTTGAGAAATTTCGATTTGTGCAAAAATATAAAGGGAAATATTGCATTGAATTTATCAGCTTGGAGTTCATTAAGTATAAAGAAATTTCGATTAGTGCAAAAATATAAAGGGAAATTATGCATTAAATTCATCAGCTTGGAGTTCATTAAGTATAAAGGGATTTTTTTTTCTGTTTGTTTTTCGATTAAAAGCTTTCGTCACGAAACTTCTTATAGGTCCATTAATCGGAGCACTATATCATATAGAAATCGAAATCAAACGAGCTTAACCAAGCCATATCTTATCTCGATATCAGCAGGATATATCAGATAGTTCTTTAGAGAGAATGCCTATAAGATATCTTTAGCAAACGCAGCAACTTATCTTTAGATAACTGCCAAGGCGTAGTCCCCCGTCTATTCGGGTTTTCCAGTTGTAGGGAAGGAAAAGGGGAAATTAATTGCCTTGCAAAAACAACAATAACACATAAAAGGCATTTTGCTATAGCGCAATAAATTTGACCAAGTTTAGCCATCATAAATATATATGCATGCATATCTAATATACACACAAATATGTATTTGCCAATTTCCATTGGCCGAGTTTATAAACAAAAGGCGAGCGAGCGAGCGAACCGAACGATTGCCCATTATAAATTCTCAAAATGTCGCTGGCTTTGGCTTTGCCTTTTCCGATTCCCGATTCCCGATTCTCGATTCCCGATTCCCGATTGCATAAATAAGTTACAATAGAAAGTTGTGCATGTTTGTTTTTCTCTAAATAGTTTGATTGTTTTGCTTGCTGTGCGCCCGCTTTTGTTATTGATTAAATTCGCCCCCGCCTACCGCTAACCCCCCCCTCGCCACATAACTCTTGCCAAGGCAGCCCGCCAATTAAGGCACCCACATGTATACCCTATACATATATATATATGTATATATATGCACTCGGCATACAGAAAGGCAGCCAGGCAGTTGAATGAATGAATGGTTGATGGCAGCGTGAGACAGCGTCTGTTTTAGTCAAATTGTTCTCAAATTGTTGAAAAGCCCAAAAAAAACAGCGAAAACCAAGAGTGCTCTGACCGACTAGGAGATGCCCTACACAAGTTCCAGATTTCTTCTTTCATTCTTTCAATTTTTGGAAAAACTAGATGTGTATATATTCTATTTGAGAGTTCCCTTGTCTCGCAATCAATATTATCGACTATACGAGATATTAGGGCAAGGTCCTAGATTTCGAATTTTGAAGACGAACATGGTCATTCAATAAAAATCATCAAAAAAGTTTCGATTTTCGAACCGACACCGAATTTGAGAAAAAACATGCCATTTTCATGATTTTGGTCAAATATTAGATTTTTAATTATTTTTAATGCCAATCGATAGTACGGATCCTTACGAGTCCAAAATGGTATAAAAAAAGGTTGACTTTACAAACGAATCGTTTTTTGGTGCACAACTTTTTTTAACCCATCGATTTTTAAATTGTTTGAATGCAGATTGATAGTAGGGATCCGTACGAATTTAAAAATGTATAACATTTCAAAATCTGACAATTTTTACCCGAGATATTCAATAAAAATAAAAACAGGAAAAGGAACAGTTTTCTTTCGGGCTGTCGCAGATGAAATGTCCTTGCAGCATAACAATCCTTTAAGCCAGCAACTAAATTTCGAAAGATTTACTTCCTTCGGAGTAATAGGAGTAATAGGAGTTCATAATTTTCAAGCTTATTCAGATAGTTGCTTTGAAAGTATATGGCATAGTAAGGCGTATCTATGGCAACTTTTCACAAGATCAAGGATCAGGAATTGATATATGATTTGTAGCTGCAACCAATCAGACAATCAGAACAAACTATTCTATATACACAAAGAAATATGTGTTACGTACACGATTACAAAATGTGCATACACCTGCTGCAAAGGGTATTTAAACCGAAAGTCATATAGAAAGAACAAAAGGCTGCTCGACTAACTTGCGGGCAGCTCTTGTGTACAACATTTACCATAATAAACGACTACAATGGGAATGTGCACAGAGAAAAGTCATTACTTTAGAATGCAACACACACACACGCACACACACACACACACACACACGCATGCACACACATACTTATATATGGATATATATAATGCAGCAAAAAAACATTTCGTTTGTCTGCCACAAATCCCGGGCAGAGGCAAAGCGCGATGCATTCGACTGAATGCTTGGCTGCCTCGAAACTGACACATTTCCAATAAAACCCACACACACACACGCACACACACACAGAGACAGACACGCCCTCTATAAGTAGTAGAGACATATGTTTTGTCAAAGGAATTGGCAGCGTCATGACTAATTGGTTTCCCTTTTCTTGACTTGATTTGCATTCGCATTCGGATTTGGATTTGGATTTGGATTTGGATTTAGGATGAGACGGGCGCCTATTTAATTGACAGAGATCCCAAGTACTTTGCGCCGGTTTTAAATTATCTGCGCCATGGCAAGCTCGTGCTGGACGGCGGCGTCTCCGCGGAGGGTGTGCTCGAGGAGGCCGAGTTCTACAATGTGACGCAGCTAATCGCGCAGCTGAAGGAGTCCATCAGCCACAGAGACCAGGTGAGCTAATTCTGATTTATATTTCGATTTATATTCTGATTTAAATTCCGATTTCTATTCAACAATGCAGCGACCGCATGCTGACAAGAAGCGCGTCTATCGTGTGCTGCAGTGCCGCGAACAGGAACTGACGCAGGTAATGCCCCCCATTTTGCTCGCTCGAGCAACTGCATGAATTAATTCATACGGCCACTTAATCGATAAAACCGAAAATAGATTCGTATCGAGTTTGTATAAGCGATTCAGAGTCTCGGCTTTGGTCTCTTCCCCTTTTTTCGAATGTTGACCGAGTAATAACTTCTCGTCGCTTGCAGATGATCTCAACTCTGTCGGATGGCTGGCGTTTCGAGCAGCTGATTAGCGTCGGCATGCAATACTCCAACTATGGCCCGTTCGAGAACAACGAGTTCCTCTGCGTCGTCTCCAAGGAGTGCGGCTCCACAGCCGGCCGCGAACTCGAGCTCAACGATCGCGCCAAGGTCCTGCAGCAGAAGGGATCGCGAATGTAAGCAAAACCGGGCAAAACGGGGCAACGAGCGAGACACCAAATACCTTATCAGTCCACACCCCGACTCCCTTTTAATTAATACACCCCTCTTCCAAACAAAAAACCCAATCAGACCCAATTACGCACTCATTAGCAGCTGATAAGCTGATAAAGTCGGCTATCTGTTTCCGTTCCGTTACGGACTCGAAAAAGCTTCACACATTTTCGCATCAATATGCCCCACCGAAAGACCAACAGATTGGCAATCAAAAAAAGCCACAAAAGAAGCTGAAAGAAAACAAATAGAAAAATAGAAAACAGCGCACATTAATTAAATTTCCAACTAGGACATCAAAATTTGTCAATTAGATCTAAGCGTACATTCAAAATGTCGAACTGCTTCTGTATATGTACATCAGCATGGGCTAGAAATTAGTTTACATCAATGTTTCAATATGTACCACACACTCACACACACACTCACAAACACACACGCACCGACAAGACGCAGAACTTTAATAAGTTAATGATCAAAAATTTTGAGCATATATCTATATAGTATATATAACATTTTTGTACGCAACAAGTATTCGACCAACAGTTAAAGCAATGCGCGTATTTAAACATTTAATATGGCTGCATTTATGTTGGTACAGTGTACGCTCGATATGGCGTCTGCTCTCCATTTTTGATCTCCAAATAATGGAAGACTAAATGCATTTCATCTTAACAGCTTGTGTATTAATACACGCAATTACTTAACACCAAACAATTATCACAAAAATCAAAAATCTGTATTCTTTAATAAGCAATATCTTCATTCAATGAGCGTTCGACTTATCGAGCGTCCACTGTATTCGGGCATTGTGTACACACACAATACATGGCTGCGAATTTGTCAGCGCAGTTCTTTACAAATAGTTTTTCACACCGCTTTTTTATTTGTTTACATAAATATTTTGTGAATGTAGCTTAAGGTTTTCTTAATATTCACACACACACACACTCGCACACACACACTCGCACACACACATTAGTTAGATACGTATATGTTATCCTCATTATTGTTTCGAGTACCTAATAATTGAAGCCCACCTCTTTTTCTCTCTTTCTTTCTCTCTCTCTCTCTCTCTCTCTCTCTCTCTCTCTCTCTCTCTGTTTAATTGCAGTCTTGGAATTTAAGAAATGCTTATAGAGCGTGTGTATGCCATCCAAAAACAAAAGCAAAAGCAAAAAGTAACTCCCATCATCCAACACCAAGCTTAAATAATAATACACCACAATCAAGCACAACATCATGAACAACAACAAAAAGCCAGCAAAACAGCGACAAACAACAACAGCAAAAAGAAAAAACAATTAAACAAAAAAAAAAACAAATTACCAAAATCATAAAGCAATAATAAGCAGGGATCCCTTTTTTCGGCAGAGCCGCTTTCAATTGGAAAATATGCCAGCAGTCAATCAGTTATAAATTCAAATCAATCAGTCAATCAGCATTCATTAAGCCGTATGTATGTTTTAATATTTACTTTGAAGGAAACGAAACTGCAAATAGGATTTATTTCTCTTGTAAAGCAACAAGAGCAGAGCGAGATTTTATTGACTATTTTTTTTCTCTCTGTTTAACACAATTCCCATTCATTGATTATTTATTATAATTATTATTATTTTTCTTTTACTGTATTCGATAAATTGTGAAATATGTCAAGTTGAACACGTCCGTCTGAAATGAAACACATCAATCAATCAATCGGCAATCATTAATTCGTGTTAGTTATTCATACCTGGCATGAAACCTGTTTCTTACAATTGACAGCTAAGCCAGCTGTGTAAAGACATCAATCAGCAAACATTAACCCTTATCCAGATCCAGTCAGTCAGTCAATCACGAAGTTGAGCACTTAAATCAATCAATCAGCAACCATGTATGTTATTTATATTCACTTTGAAGTAAACATTTTGGAAACATTTCTTTCTCTGCTGAGAAACAAGACAATATGATGTAGCCTTGATTGATTAATTGATTAATTGATTGATTGCTTTTTGTTTTGTTAATTTCGATTGATATATTTTTGAATGATGACTATCTTCTTAAATATGACATTACATCAAACTTTTCCTTCTGCTACACAGATCCAGCCAAATCAATTCAGTCAATCAGTCACGAACTTAAAACTTTAATCAATCAATCAGCAAACAGGGTTAACCCTTTGTATGTTATTTATATTCACTTTTAAGCAAACATTTCTTTCTCTTCTGAGAAACAAGACAATATGATGTATCCTTTATTGATTGACTGCTTTCTGTTCTGTTAATTTCGATTGATGAACTTCTTCTCTAATATGACATTACATCAAACGTTTCCGTCTGCTACTGAGATCCAGCCAGATCCCGTCAGTCAGTCAGTCAGTCAATCAAATCAATCAATCAGCAAACATTAACCCTTGTGTATCTTATTAATATATTCACTTTGCAAGAAACTTGATTGGAAATTGCAAATATTTATCTTATAATGAGGAAGGGAGATTAAAAAACAGATAAGATAAGCAGGGGAATTCTTTTTGTTTATCAATTAGCTCCCAAGTTTGATAAGTTAAACATTTCTCTCTCTGTGTGTGTGTGAGTGTGTGTGTGTGTGTGTGTGTGTGAATGTATGTGTGAATGTGCTTAGATTCTCGCCTGGAAGAGAGAGAGAGAGAGCGAGAGAGAGCGCGCTCTTCAAACGACCCACACCGAACACTAGATACACTTATTTGTTTTTTTTTTTTTTGCCTTGAGAGTAGTCGACTAATTTGGCTTCCCTTCTGCCTTCCGCATTTTTGAAGAGTGCATTAATACGCTTAATAGTTGAATCGAAAACGAAAACAAAAGCAAAAGCAAATACAAACAAAAAAACAAAAGAAAAGAAAAGCTAAAGAAAAAGCACATGCGTTAAATGTGAAGCAAGCACAAAGAAAACACCGCCAACAATGCTTAGTTTAAATTGAATAAGTGAAACTAAAAAAAACCATAAATATAAACTTATATAGTATATAAATGTATTACGTATGCAATTAATATGATGATATGCTGATGCTGAGAAAGAAACCGAAATAGAAAGCAAACAGAATTTAGCTAAACACTAACTAACCAACTAACTAACTAACTAACTAACTAGTTGCTTAGTAGCGGAGCGAGAATATGCATTAACACCAATTGCGATGCAATGATATACACATATGAAATAGAAGAGAGAAGCGTACACATACATACATACATACATACATACATACGTTTAACAATTTAAGGACGAAGCGTGACGAAACGTTTCCAATTTGTACTTTTAGCTATTTAGCTGTTTTTTAATTGGGCTTACAATATACATATATACTATAACAACAATAACAATTGAAAAGCAAACTAAAACAATTTATTATTAAATGTATACAATAAAATAATTTATATACATATATATATATAGAAATACTAGTGCATCATCATAGGGACGTTCATTTCGTCGATTGCGATATTCTAAATGTATTTGTCAAAAATGTTCTAAACTAAATTCGATAACTACTTAAAACCGGCTCTCGCCTCATTAATAATAATCAATTGGTGTTTTATGCCCTGAACCCATTCGAATACGTTTAAATCGAAACTGAAGAACGAGCATCTACTTATAATTCTGCTCAGCTCAGTCGTTATAGCCATATGTCCGTCTGTCTGTCCATCCGAGCTGGAAGAACTTTGTCAAAATCGAAAAACAAATCTAGAAGACTCTCTACACAGATCAGGAATATTTATCTTTTCGGGGAGACCTTCGCCCCGTTTCCAGCAATATAATGCAATTTTCGTTGGGAACTGAGAAATTCATCAAGTTCTGACAATAGACACGGGCTGGTATTCAAGAAGTAAGAAGAAGCACGACAGCTGTGAATATATGAAGAAAGCGAATATGTAAAATTAAAAAAAAAAAAACCAATCTCTATCGGAATTCAACTGCGCCTTACCAGGCGCTCATAATTTCAATATTAATAAGCTGCTTCGACGAATTCGAGTACTATTACGGAACTGCCCGACTAGCAGATACCCTATAACCAACTGGGCCTTACCAGGCGCTCATAATTTAAATAATAACCTCATTCGACGAATTCGAGTACTATTACGGAACTGCCCGACTAGCAGATACCCTATAACCAACTGGGCCTTACCAGGCGCTCATAATTTCAATAATAATAAGCTGCTTCGACGAATCCGAGTATTATTACGGAACTGCCCGACTAGCAGATACCCTATAACCAGTCTAGCTTCCTTCTTTACATACAAAGCGAAAGTTCCTCACTTTGGCAAATGCTTTCTACAAAAATCTCCCGTGTTCGTTGTCCGAACTTTGTGAAACTCTCTCTCTCTCTCTCTCTCTCTCTCTATACAGCAAGGCCCCAGACTAGGTCAACATATATGCGATTATTTCCTTTCAATTTTGCTTGAAAAAAGTATAATATGCTAGATCAGTTAATTGCGAGGAGCTAAAAAAAAACCAGTTTGTTAACCAATTTCTGTAGGTTCAGGGTAAAAAAGGGCGTAAAAAAAAAATGCCAACAAAAACTTGACAACTCTGTTGGCATTTATCTATAATTGAGAATCGGCGAGAAGGCCAATTTGGTGTTCATACTTTATTTGTAAGCAAGTTACTTTCTTAAAAAAAAAAAAACAAAATATGTTCGAGCTGCATTTACATACGTCTGTCTGATATATATGTATAGATATATATATATTTATATATATAGATATATAGATCGAACGCAGCCTCGTTTGCATTATAACCTTGAGCTTTATTTAACTAGCAAAAGCAAAGGCAAAAACAAAACAAAAAACAAAACAAACAAAAAACAGAAAAAAAAACATTTTAAATCACGACTGAATTTATGTGAACTTGCACTAAAAACAAAATCAACTAAAATGAATTAATATGAAATATGAAATATGAGAAAACAATACGGCGACGTTTCTTAGATAAATACGCATTATTAATGGATACCCAATGTATGTATATAATTTTAAAGTAAACTAATTTATACACTAAAAATGAAAAGAAAAGAAGTGAAGTGAGGAGAAGAGAAGAGAAGAGAACGTCGCCAACTACTCGTTACCCATTTTTGTATCCATTTTGAATTATATTTGATGTGCATCTAAATGCAAGTTAGAATAATGCTTACAATTATTTGGCTCAAGCCAGACTCGGAACACCTTGGAACACCTTGGAACACCTTTACATTAGCTTGTAAAAGATAAAATCAAAATGAAAATCCAAAACTAAATGCAATATACATATATGTGCGACATGTTCTTAGCAATACAGACGATGCCATACACATATGTGGGCGTGGCATCTGCGATAAAATTCATCCCAAAAATATATATATATATATGAATTATATGAATAATCAATCGATGTAAGCCCCGATAAACCATCTCTGACACTTATTTACAAGTGGAAAAGCGTTGGGAAAGCGAGTGAAAACTCATGAAAACTCAAGCACATGTGTACATTCTCACACATTTGAATACTTACCTACAATACTTATACATACGTATAGAAATCGGAATGTATAGCCACGCGGGGCAAGCTTCACTGTGCTTGCAGCTACCTAGTATAATCAACAGATCAATCTGGGCGTATCTCTGCTCTCGCAGAGACAATATTCAAATAAATTAATGATCCCTTTTCTAAAAAAAAACAAGCAACGTTCAAATCGTGTTTTAATTTTAAACTTAAGATTAAAGAACTATTTTTTCGAAATTAAGTAAAAACCCAAAAAAAAAAAAAATCAAGTCAACATTTTTTGAGTTTCCGGATTTTTTGCCGAAAACTTAAACCCTTTTGGTTTATTTTTCTACTAAAGCTTAAACTTGCAATCGATTCAAAATAAATTTAAAAAACAAATATAATATGAAATTTAAAAGTTTTGCCAAGTTTGCTGAAGTTTAAAGTTTAGTTAAAAGCATTTTCTTTTTAATTTAATTAAATTGCTTGACTAAACATCAAGGGCTAAGTATTTAGTATATGTTTAAGTAAAGCTTTGACAGAAATAAAGAAAGCTTTTGAGAGCTTTATGAAAAGCTTCGGATTGGAAGCCAGGAAAGTGGAGATTTAAGGGTTGAAATTAAGCATTTTGTATTGAAAGGGCGTGTCCTTGCAAAAGGCTTGCCCGAAAAGCTTAAAGCTTGCCTGAAAAGCTCAAAGCTTTTTTTTGATGCGGCCAAAGCTTTTACTGTAAATAGCAAGTCTTCACACCAATAAAGCTGATTGTCGACAAAAAGCACATACCCCGGAAAAAAGCTTTCGTATTAAGCAAAGACCAACTGAATTCGACCCAATTAATTGTATATGTATTCTT